TATTCATATAGAAACAAGCATAGCCAATTGGAAACAAGGCAGATTGCCTTGTCTGTGCGATGGGACTGCACTGGAGAAAGTGGCCAGCACAGCACCCAACACATCTGGTGAGAATGGGCCCTAAATCTACAGCGCTCATAATATTATACTTTATGATCCTGTCATGGTGGTCCTTGTACAGGAACTGCAGCCACTTGCTAAGGCGTGACAACTTTCTCCCAATTGTGTTTTTGCATTGTCATCCTGTTACATGGGACCCTGGTGAACATGGCAATTGTTTATGATATATGGCACTGAACTTTTAACATGGTCTGGTTTTGCATACCTCATTATAGGGATGGCCTCAATACTTTCTGAGTCACTTGCCTGGAGTCAGCAGGAAGCTTTAGCAGTCAGAGGAAAATTCCTGATCAGCATATTTGTTTCATGTCAGTGAAGCTTAGGATCAGCATGACAGCCAGGCATCCAGCAATTTGAAAATGATAGTTCAGCACTGGCAGCCTTGGAGTTTCCTCTCATAAAGTGTTTTGTCTAAAAGACACATTAAAAAGTCTATAAGATGAAAAGCTTGGTGACAGCTCAGTGCTCTGTTTTCAGCCAGTACATTTATATGATGGGAATTTTGCCGGCTGAAGCAGAAAAAATTGCCGAGCTCAGAAAATGTTGTGGACCTGCCAGACTGGAGCGAGTGGGAAGTGTGTTATATTGGTGTCATACCACACTCATCATGGAGAGAAAATGAGCAAACAAGTTCACCGAAACCTCCAGAGAGCATCAACTGAAGTGGGGAATTGGGGGGCATGTCTGTATAGAGCATGGGTAGCCAACTCAGGCCCTCCAGCTGTTGTGGAACTACAAGTCCCATGAAGCATTGCAAGACTCTAACAGCCACAGGCATGACTCTCAGGGATTATGAGATTTGTAGTTAGAGTGCAGATGGAGGGCTGGAGTTGCCAAACCCTGGTATAGAGAAATGTGATTACTATGAACAACATATACATTTTTAAATATTTGGCCAGTATGACAGAATGTTTTGTGAAATTAAGGTGGTAGGTGGAGGTTGGAAGGGTGGAATGGGCTTTAAATATCTCCTGCTGCTTAGGGAAGCTCCTTTCAATTACACTGGAACTGTTCTTGTGCCCCAAAAAGCCAAAGCTATGGGTAACCCTTAAGATCTATGCATGTGTATGTAGAGGTGGGGTTTCTTGTAGTATTAAGCAGGTACCTTGTCATATGTCAATGTGCGTTTCCTTTGTATGTTGGCATGCTTTATTGATGTGCATTTCCAATGTGTTTTTATTTTATGATTTGGAGTAGATAGTTAACATATATTGACAAAGTCTTGTCAATATCTGTTGCCAACGCATCGAAATGCACGTAACATTTTGTAGTATTTTGATGCACTGCCATTGGCTTCTATGGGTCTACACATTCACTAATGCTTACCCTAACTCTAATGGTAACCCTAACTCTAATGGTGACCATAACTCTTACAGTAAACCTAACTCTAATAGTAAACCTAACTCTAACTCTAATGGTAATCCTAACTCTAATGGTAATCCTAACTCTAATGCTTACCCTGCCTCTAATGCTAACCCTAACTCTAATGGTAACCCTAACTCTAATGCTTACCCTGACTCTAATGGTGACCCTGACTCTAATGGTAAACTTAACTCTAATGCTTATCCTGACTCTAATGGTGACACTGCCTCTAATGGTAGAACGAACTCTAATGGTTACCCTGACTCTAATGCTTACCCTGACTCTAATGCTAACCTTAACTCTAATGGTAACCCTAACTCTAATAGTGAACCTAACTCTAATGGTGACCGTAACTCTAATGGTGACCCTAACTCTTATGCTTACCCTAACTCTAATAGTAACCCTAACTTTAATAGTAACCCTAACTCTAATAGTAAACCTAACTCTTATGCTTACCCTAACTCTTATAATAAGCCTAACTTTCATGGTAACCCAACTCTAATGCTTACCCTAACTCTTATGGTAAGCCTAACTCTAATAGTTAGCCTAACTCTAATGCTATCCTAACCCTAATCCTTACCCTCAATCTAATGGTAACCCTGACTCTAATAGTAACCATAACTCTAATGCTTACCCTATCTTAAATTGTAACTGTAGTGGTAATTCTAACTCTAAAGGTAACCCTGATTCTAATGGTAACTTTAACTCTAATGGTAGCTCTAAGCAATCCATGTGAAGAATTTTAAAAATGATTTCAAAATATTTGAGATCTTTATTTTTTTAAATTGTTTTTTAATGTCATCTATATGATGAAAGAGCAAAATCATCTCCCACGCTACCTTAAGGCCCACAGGAGGTACATTGGCTCAGGGGTACTCATTGACCTTATACTGTATATCATTGACCAAATATGGCCATGTGGTCATAGAAGATCAATGATGTTACCAACATCCCAACCTTTTGTTAACATGCAGCTGCAGAGCAGGAAATGCATTGACCACATCTGATGAGACAGCTTCTTTCCGGGTTGTGGGTCCCACCACCATCCCTACCGGGACACCAGCTAGGGAAGTCATTGTGGGGTACCACGTTTCATAAAAAGTTGTGCTGATGCATGGGTCAAACAGAAAACTGTTGCTAGGCTTGCAGGCAGCATTTGCATCTTGTGCAGGTGGCACATAGTTTAGCAGGAGAGGAGGTAGTCCTACTGGCTGTGAAATGCGGTATTCCATACATGATATAGCCGTTCTGCTGGTGCACAGCGACCTGCCGGTTTTTTGGGTTTTTTTTTCACATGGAAATTTTTATAGTGGAGGGGCCTGAGAAGTGGACCTTCCTTGCTCATGCAAGATCCCCTTTAATGCAGCACAAGCAAACATGTAAAAACACATGCAGCACTGCAATGCATGGACCTGGGGCTGGAGGAAAAGTCTACAGGAGCTAAAGCATTTGGCTTCATTCACACTTGCCACCTGCCCTTTTGTCCTCTATAGGCAAAGGAAAATAAGCCCAGGCTAGATGCTGTGTTTATGCTTCTAGATGCTTTAAATGACACATGTGGCCAGGAGTGTGCACGTTTCTCCTGTGTTTGCGTGTGTTGAAATGCTTAAAAAAAAAAAAAACCTGCGGAAAGCATGTTGTAGATTTTGCTACATGCACTACTTTTTTGCTTTTGCAGCGCATATAGTAACCCATTTAAACCAGTGGGGACATGCTGCAAAGGCAGAGAACAAACGCACACAAACGCAATAACGCATGCACCCACAATGCGTGCTCCAGCTACGCCTAGGTGTGAACGGAGCCTAACACCCCAGTTTACTGATTGCAGCTGTAAAGGCTCAAAAATGAAGAACAAAAATGATAAATGCACTTTTTTTTTCTCTCTGCAATTTGGATGCATTTATAGTGGAATATACCTTTAACACAAAAACCAGATTGGCTACACTGTTTCCATCCAGTTTGTTACATTGTATCCACTAGAGCAGCTGCCAAAGCAGGAGGAAGGGGGATGCAGGGGATAATTTTCGCATGCTCAGTGCGGGGGGATACAGGGGATACTCTGCGCATGCTCAGTACGGGGGATACAGGGGATGCGGTCTTTCATGGCACAGGGATTCTTTAAGGAGGACGAGCAGCTCCGGAGGAGGGGTTATGCTGATGAAGGATGGACATTCTCGTAGAGGAGACTGAGCATACAGGGAGGAGAGGAGAGGCAGGCTGGGCACACAGGCCTCTCTCTACACCGGGATAACCGGGGACACCGTGCAGGGAGGGGGGCTCTTTCTACTTGGCCGCTGGAACGCTTCGCTCGCTGGTTATGCATAGGATCCCATCTGTGTGTGCCCCCCCGGAGCGAGCCATCGTTGTGTGCCCATCGCAGCAGAGCATCCCTTATGCTGGGCTAATTGTGCCAGGCTGCACGGCACGAAGACTGGGGACTTTCTGAAGCATCGCAGACTCCAGCGCGGCTCACCATGCTCTTGATCACCCCGGGCTCTAGACCTCTAGATAGCTGGCAGTCACTGGTGCTCTTGTGGCAAAGCTTCCTTTGGATTGTGTGCGCGGTGTGTGCGGAGGAGCAGTACTTCAATGTAGAGGTAAGGCGAGCTTCTCCCGGATCATCCAATCCAACCCAACTCTGCTGGTCCTACGAGCTTCTCCTCTATGGGTCAGGGTGATGGTCTGTGTGAGCTGATCACAGGTCTGTGCTCACCCAGGTGGAAGCAGATCCACATAGTTTATACATAGGAAGTGTACCCTGATACAATGTAACTCTGCAAACACATTCTGATCTTTTATTTAAAAACAATTCTTACAAGAAGGCCATCATGAATACTTCAACAGTTGATGTGAGAGGACCTGGGAGTGGGGGGATAACTTGTCAGGGCTTAACATCTGGTTCTAGAATCCTGGGGGCAGTTGTGCAACTGATTCTGTTGGTTTTCAATGGGAAATGCAATTTTTTGGGTTACCAAAACCCGAAAGGCTGAAGATGCATGTGATCCCAAGGTTGAGCAGCGCTGTCTGAGATCACTGATGCCCAATCAATGGGTGAGCCAACTCCTGGCTACCTGGTGGCATCTGCTCAGTAGGTACTTATTTGTGAATGACTAGCCGGAAAACATGTGCTACCTATACCCTAAGCAGACAGTCATGGGCCAAGGAATGCATATCATTTCACCAATGAGCATTTCAGTAAGGGCTTGTTCACACCATCTCCAGACCAGTCCTAGATGCATTTCCACATGCGTGTTTTTGATGCATTCCTGTGTGTGTGTGTTAATAACTTATTAAGGCTTAAGAGAATCCTGAGTGCAATTTTGCAACTGGTTCTGTTGGTTTTCAATGGGAAATTACATTTTTTGGGGGACCAAAACCTGACATGCTGAAGCATGTCACAATGATGCATGTGATCCCAAGGTTGAGCAGCGCTGTTCAGGATCACTGATGCCCAATCTGTGGCATCTGCTCAGTAGGTACTCATTTGTGTATGACAAGCTGGTACAGCGCTGTCCAGGATCACTGATGCCCAATCGGTGGGTGAGCCAACTCCTGGCTACCTGGTAGCATCTGCTCAGTAGATACTTATTTGTGAATGACTAGCTAGAACGTGTGCTACCTATATCCTAAGCATGTACACAGTCACGGACATCATTTCATCAGTTAGCTTTTTAGTAAGGACTTGTTCACACTATCTCCAGACCAGTTGTGGATGCATTTCCACATGCACATTTTTGATGCATTTCGGTGCATTTTTTCTTTTTTTAAAAATTGATTTTGCTTGGGTTTAAGTGTGTTCTGTTGCATGTACCTGCTGTTTGTGCGTTTCAGAGCGGGAAAAAGCATTTCAAAGTGCTGGAACTGAACACAGTGGTGTTAACTAGCCTTATTTACCATTGGAATCACTGTGTATACATTTATCATGCCAATAAAAACCGCAGCGGTCTGGAGATGGTGTGAACAAGACTTAAATGTTTTTGAATGGTGTTCATTTATCTCTAGTGCTGCTACACACACCACTTTTCATATATGAATGTGGCCAAGGAAAGTCAGGGACCCTGATGGGTGGACACCTAGGAGTAACCAGATGCCCAGGGAGCAGAGAAGAGTAGGACATTGTATTTTTATTGGGGCTTAGGAGTTTTGTGGGGCACTCTATATTTTTGGGTACCAAAATCCTAGCATGCTGACAGCCTGAAGAATGTCACAATGATGCATGCGACCCCCAAGGTTGAGAAGCACTGTCCAAGATCACTAATCGGTGGGTGTACCAATGTAACTCCTGGCTACCTAGGTTGTTACTAGTGGCAGCTGCCCAGCAGATACTTATCTGTGAATGACTAGCTTGAACATGTGCTACCTATCCCCTAAGCATGTAGACAATCATGGGCCAAGGAATAATAATCATTTCACCAGTCAGCATTTTAGTAAAAGGTTTTTGAGTGATGTCCATTTATCCCAGGTGTACACACCACTTATTATATTTGAATGTGCCTAAAAAAGTCAGGAACCCAGATGGGTGGGCACAGAGAAGACGAGGGCATTGTATTATATTGGCGTCCAGGAGTTCTGTGCAAGCCAATCAGGTTCTTATATGTTTTACAGGTGCACTGTTGGCTTTGGGTCTATAGAATGCATATTCTGCATGATGTGCAAGAAATGCTCTTACCATAGCTATACTGAGGTGTGGTCTGTATTGTATTGGGCAAAGGGGGCATTATTGCTATTTCCCTGTCCAGGGAGCAACATTCCCTCTACAAGCATGTGGGTGCATTAGCTCCATGAGTGCTGTGCCCTGCAATGTGTGCTCCCCACGGGGGTACACGTATCATTGGTTAAAGAGCTTTGCTCTAGACCGGGGTGGGCAACCCTGGTCCTCCAGCTGTGCTTTAACTACAAATCCTCTGGCCTCTGGCAGTCGTGTCTGTGGCTGTTAGTCTTGCAATGCCTCATGGGACTTGTAGTTCCACAACAGCTGAAGGGCCAGACTTGCCCACCCCTGCTCTAGAATGATTGGGAAAAGTCAGAGATTAGTGCACACTACATGACCTGTTGGGACCCACTGACTTATGACAGTTTTGTTCTTTTCTCTATTAAAGCTGAACTCCATCCATACCGTCAGTCTTTCTCATGTACTGAAATTGCTTACTTTGATTTTTTAATTTTTTTTACTGATTTCACTGCACATTGTGAGCTTCTTAAAATGTATATTGGAAGTTTCTGCATGTCAGATAGTGCCCACCTCATTTTGCAGGCTCATGGTCATCCAGCATTATCTAGCTCTTTCTTTCCTAGTCTGACTGGGGCACCCCTTTCATTCATTGAATTTCAGTTATTGAAGTCAGAGGCACGGCATTACGTGTGGGTTATATATAGTTTGGTCTGCATGCAAATGCAGTCTGCCTAGGAACTCTCATTCCCCCAGACTGACATCCATCTAACAAGGCATTTTGATATTTGCATAACTCCTCCCAAGAGCTGACCCACTGCTTGCATTACATTTGAGGGCTTTTGAGAAGGTTACAGAAGAAGGGTGCTGTGATGATTTTAGGAAGCTATGTACAGCACCCTGCCTGCCCCTCTCACCAGCCATGATCTGCCTCCAGTTACTCTGAATGTTCCATATGCTCTTGCCTCCAATTACTCTAAATACTCCATGTGTCCCTGCCACCAGTTACTCTGAATGCTCCATGTGTCCCTGCCTCAAGTTACTCTGGATGCTCCATCTGTCCCTACCTCCAGTTACTTTGAATGCTCCATGTGTCCCTGCCTCCAGTTACTCTAAATGGTCCATGTGCCCCTGCCTCCAGTTACTCTAAATGGTCCATGTGTCCCTACCTACAGTTACTGTAAATGTTCCATGTGTCTCTGCCTCCAGTTACTCAGAATGCTACATGTGTCCCTGCCTCCAATTACTCTGAATGCTCCATGTGTCCCCACCTCCAATTACTCTGAATGCTCCATGTGTCCATACCTCCAGTTACTCAGAATGCTCCATGTGTCCCTGCCTTCAATTACTCTGAATGTTCCATGTGTCCCCGCCTCCAATTACTCTGAATGCTCCATGTGTCCCTGCCTCCAATTACTCTGAATGCTCCATGTGTCCCTGCCTCCAATTACTCTGAATGTTCCATGTGTCCCTGCCTTCAATTACTCCGAATGCTCCATGTGTCCCTGCCTCCAGTTACTCTGGATGCTCCATGTGTCCCTTGTGTCCCAGCCTCCGGTTACTCTGAATGTTCCATGTGTCCTAGCCTTTGTTTTTTCTGAATGCTCTGAATGTCCCCGGCCTGTGGGTATTCTGAATGCTCCATGTGTCTTGGCCTACGGGTATTTTGAATGTTCCATATTTCCCAGCCTCCGGTTACTCTGAATGTTCCATGTGGCCCTCCTTCCAATCTTGTATTGTGATTGTAATGTCTTCCCTATATTGTAAAGCGCTGCGCAAACTGTTGGCGCTATATAAATCCTGTATAATAATAATAATGTGTCCTGTGCTTTGGTTTTTCTGAATGCTCCATGTGTCCCGGTTTCGGTTACTCTGAATGCTCCATGTGTCCTGGCCTGCGGGTATTTTGAATGTTCCATGTGTCCCGACCTCCGGTTACTCTGAATGTTTCATGTGTCCAGGCCTTTGGTTTCTCTGAATGTTCCGTGTGTCCCAGCCTTCGGTTATTTTGAATGTTCCATGTGTCCAGGCCTTTCGTTATTCTGAATGTTCCATGTGTCTGGGCCTTCGGTTACTCTGAATGTTCCATGTGTCTGGGCCTTCGGTTACTCTGAATGTTCCATGTGTCTGGGCCTTCGGTTACTTCCTAATGTTCCATGTGTCCGGGCCTTCGGTTACTCTGAATGTTCCATGTGTCCGGGCCTTCGGTTACTCTGAATGTTCGGTGTGTCCCAGCCTCCAGTTACTCTCCTTTTGTTCTCAGAGGATGTTTAGTTTCAGCAGCACAAACAAGGAAACTTGAGCTATATGACGGCTCTGTGTTTTGTGTACAGGCAGTTTAGTTACCGTGGGACGTCTGCACAATGCGTCTCCTGCATAGATGTGAGATGCCGTCTGCGTTCTCTGCCATTGTAGTGTCCATCATTGTGTTATTTTCCTGCATGGGATGGAAATACAGCGAGATACAGTAGACTGTAGAAGAGACCTTCTCTGTGACAATGGTGATAGGAACTCTTTGGATGATTTATGACATTGTGAGGTGGTGGTGTATATAGTAGAAGAAGAAGTCACCATTTGGTGAAAGCATGCCTGGACATCGCTTTAAAATATGTTGTTTGATGTAAATCTGAATATGCTGTCGGTGTGTAGAACTGAATAAAAGTATTGGGACCCTTGTGTGAGTAACTTACCTGTCTTATTATAGAAATGTCAATACACTAGATTAGGGATAGGCAAATCCCATCAGGCCTCTGGTAGTCATGCCTGTGGCTGCCAGTCTTGCAATGCCTAATGGGACTTGTAGTTCCACAACAGTTGTTGGAGTGCCAAGGTTTCCCGCCCCTGCTATAGATAGAACTTGGTTTATTTTACATAGTCTGTTGCTTTCTCGTGTAATGACCCTCTTCCTCCTCAATAATCACTTCCAGC